TAAGAGAAGCAGAAACAGCAGAGATCGGGGACGAGGATGTGAAAGTCCTGGATGACGTCGGCAAAGAGCTAGCCGAGAAGAGTGAGGAAGCCTTAAAGAAAATCCTTGTCCAGCAAGGAGATAAAGAACGCTTCTTCCTTCTCGGCTCGGGCTTGGCTGAGGAAGAGGAAAAAGAGCTAGAGGCATTCCGGAGAGCAAATCTAGAGGTGTTTGCATGGACACCATACGATATGTCTGGCATTGACCCCGAGGTCACTTGCCATAGACTGAATGTGGACAGATTGGCCAAACCTGTAATCCAGCGAGTAAGGAGGCCGACGTTAATACATGTGGAGGCAGTAGAAGAGGAAGTAGATAGACTTCTGGAGGTCAAAGCCATTCGAGAGGTAAATTACCCAACATGGTTATCAAATACAGTAGTGGTAAAGAAAAAGAATGGGAAGTGGAGAGTCTGTGTGGACTTTACCAGCCTGAACAAGGCTTGTCCCAAAGACAGCTTCCCATTCCCAAAATTGACCAACTAGTAGATGCCACTTTAGGGCATGGAAGGATGAGCTTCCTAGATGCTTATAGGGGATACCATCAGATAGCCATGTACCCCCCAGATGAGAAAAAGACTGCATTTACCACTCCAAAAGGGTTGTACTGCTACAGAGTGATGCCTTTTGGATTGAAAAACGCAGGAACGAATTACCAGTGATTGGTGACAAAGATGTTCAGACATCTAATTGGCAAAACTATGGAGGTGTACATAAATGACATGTCGTGAAGACCAAGGAACCTAAGGGTCATCTGGACGACTTAAAAGCAGTCTTTGACATCCTTTGAACATATCGACTCCAACTCAATGCATCGAAATGTGCATTTAAAGTTGGGTCTGGTAAGTTCTTAGGATATTTGGTAAGCAAAAGGGGCATTGAGGCTAGCCCGGATCAGATTAAGGTCATCCTAGAATTGAAGAGCCCAACATCGGCAAAGCAAGTACAAATGTTGATTGAAAGGGCTGCAGCCCTGAATAAATTTATAAGTAGAAGCTCTGACAAGTGTAAACCTTTCTTCAGCTTAGTGAAGAAAGCCGCAGACTTCTTATCGACAGAAGAGTACGAAGCTGCCTTGGCCGACTTGAAAAAGTATTTGACCACAGCTCTAGTTCTCTCAAATCCAGTGCCTGGAGAGGAGTTGTTCTTATACTTGGCAGTGTCAGAGCACGCAGTGAGTGCAATGGTAGTCAGAGAAGAAAATGAAGAGCAAAGGGCAGTTTACTATGTGAGTAAAACCCTGGTAGATGCAGAGACCAGATACCTACCCTTGGAGAAGTTAACATTGGCTTTAGTAATGGCTTCTAAGGAGCTGAATTATTACTTTCAAACCTACAAGATTGTGGTGTTAACTGAACACCCTTTGAAGTCCATGTTACAGCAAGGGGATCTAACAGGCAGAATAGTCAGATGGGTAGTGGCCTTGGGCCAATATGACTTGGAATTAAGACCCAAAACGGCAATCAAAGGCCAAGTCTTAGCCGACTTTGTGGCCAAGTTTACACCAGATGCCGTCATACATCGAGCTCCGTTGAGCTGAGGTACACAACGTCCAAGTGAACAAGGAAAAACCCAGCTGGGGATAACAGAGCAAAGGAACGAGGAAAAACTCAGACCCTATAGCATTTACATCGGTGACTCATTCCGGCTGTTTGTCGATGGGAGTTCAAACTAACAAGGAGCGGGGGAAGAAGTAGTACTAGTATCTCTAGATGGGCAGAAACTGGAACAGTCCATTCGTTTGGGGTTTAAGGCCTCAAACAATGAAGCAGAGTATGAAGCACTAATCGCAGGATTAAAGCTGGCAGCAGCAATGGAAGTTGACGAGGTAATAGTCTTCTATGACTCCCAACTTATCGTCAACCAGACAACAGACGAGTACGCAGCCCGAGATGAAAGGATGTCGGCCTATGTAAAGGAAGTGGACAGACTGATGGCATTGTTCCAAAATTGCCAACTACAATAAGTTGGCCGAGATGACAATAGCCATGCCGATGCCCTGGCCAACCTGGCCAGTGCAATGAAACCAGGAGAGGCAAGAACAATAATGGTTTATTACTTGCCAGGACCAAGTATAGAACCACTGAACACACAACATGAAGCAATGTGTGTAGAGATGGGACCAAGCTGGATGGATGCAATAAAAGTATTTCTTAAAGAAGGAAAACTGCCAGATGATTGAAAAGAGGTGCACAAGATCAGACTGAAATCGGCAAGATTCTGTTTGACAGCACAAGGACATCTCTACAGAAGATCTTTTACTGGACCCCTTCTGAAGTGTGTGCATCCTGCACAAGTTGAAGACTTTCTGTATGAGATACACGAATGAGTATATGGAAGCCATGCTGGGGGCAGGTCACTTGCTCATAGGGCCATTACTCAGGGGTACTGGTGGCTCTACATGTAGAAAGATGCTGAAACCTATGTCAAGAAGTGTGAGAAGTGCCAAAGGTTTGCACCTTTGATACATCAACCAGCAGCAGACCTGAACCTGGTGTCCAGCCCTTGGCCATTTGCCCAATGGGGCATGGATCTTGTTGGAAAACTGCCTCAAGCAACTGGACAAAGGAAGTACCTGCTGGTGGCAACAGATTACTTCACCAAGTGGGTAGAAGCTGAACCCCTTACCAAAATTCGGGACGTTGATGTGAAAAACCTCATATAGAGGAACATCATCACCAGGTTTGGGATTCCAAGGGAAATAATATAAGACAATGGTACACAATTTGACAATAAGCTAATCAAGAACTTCTGTGCAAAATACAATATCAAGAATTACTATTCCACCCCAAGTTTTCTTTAAAGCAATAGGCAAGCAGAAGCATCCAACAAAGTTATCTTGGATGGGATTAAGAAGAGGCTGCAGGCAGCAAAAGAAAAGTAGGTTGATGAGTTGCCCAGTGTACTCTGGGCATATCAGACTACGCCAAGAAGATCAACTGGAGAATCCTCATTTGCCATTGCTTTTGGTGCAGAGGCAGTAATTCCACTGGAGATCGGCATCCCAGGGATCAGATCCCAGGGAGTAAATGGGACCAATGAGGCATTTATAACCCGAGATCTGGATCTTCTAGAGGAACGAAGGGAGAAAGCAACAATTCAGCTGGGGACATACCAGCAGCAGCTTGCCAGGGCCTATAATAAAAATGTCAACCCACGAGAGTTCCAAGTTGGTGACCCCGTCTTGAGAAAGGTCGTCGGCAATAAGAAGGATCCTAGAGAGGGCAAGCTTGGCCCGAATTGGGAAGGACCCTATAAAATCATCTCGGTCTTGGGTAACAGGGCATATCGGCTTGAGAATTGTGAAGGCACAGAACTGCCAAGACCCTGGAATACTTGCAATCTGAAGTTTTTATATCACTAGATTTCTTGTCTTTTAAAAGTTTTCTTTTGTTTTGTTATTAGCCGAAGTATTAATAAAGTTTTAGCTTGATTTTTAAACTTGTGTATTGTGACTAATCAGGTACTTGACGATGTTTCTAAATTGAAACATGACAAATAACTTAGACTTATTATATGATAGAGTTCCTACTTGCATATAATAGAGTTGAACTAAGTTTGCGATGTTTCTAATTGAAACATGTTGAATAACTTAGACTTATTATATGGCAGAGTTCCTACTTGCATATAATAGAGTTGAACTAAGTTTGCGATGTTTCTGATTGAAACATGACGAATAACTTAGACTTATTATATGGCAGAGTTCCTACTTGCATATAATAGAGTTAAACTAAGTTGAAACAACTCAAACTTGCCATGTCGGCAGAGTCAAACACAGATTGGAGCCAAGTGCATGTTAGTTAAATTAACAAAGAGACCGAGGTTGTTAACCTCGACCAGTCTTTGTTTGAATTTGACCTCGGCGATAAGGTCAAAGCCACATGCTTAATGAGAACCCAAGTGGAACTTAAGTTCACATTAGGGGGCAGAGAGCTGGAGAATGATGCTTGGGAATTGGAATTTACAAGCAAAAGATAGGTTAACACTTGTTAAAATTTTGAGAAAAATTTACAAGTTGAAGTTAAGCCGAGGTTATGTTAAAGGAAGATGGTTTAACACTTGTTGAAATTTTGAGAAAAATTTACAAGTTGAAATTAATCCAAGATTATGTTGCAATAATAGAAGACAGAGGTCTCGAGTGAAGTAGCAAGTTGTAAATAACACTTGTGAAAATAGTTTGAATATTTTCAAATGTTAGGACAGAGCTGAAATAAGCTGTTAGTAGGAATAGCCGAGGTATTCCACACCGAAAAGATTATATAGTTAAGGTATATATTGAAAACATGGAAATTATTCTAAGTATAGAATCTTACAAGACAGTAAAAGAAAGACAAACATACAATCACATTGAAAGAAGAAAGTTATACTTGCATTCAGATAAGGAAGTTCAAATACAAAAAGGCACTTCAGCCTGATATTGGAGATTACTTGTTTAGAATAGACAAAGGCACATCAGCCAAATAAAAGCTTACATTTGTTCCAAAAGTGAAAGAAAATACAAGGTACAGAAAAAAGATAAAGACATCAAACTAGACTATTCGGCGTCTTTGGCTGGTTGGGACTGAAGTTCAGAAGACAGTTGGGAAGACATTTCGGCGGCCTTCTCAGCCGCGAGCTTAGCATCAATCTCTTGAAGACTCTAGTCGATGCTTTTCTTGGCGATAGGCACGCCCGATGTTATCTTCTCAGGAATGGCATCTTTGGAGACCTCACCCTCCTCATCCTGAGACAAGTCCACGACTTGCTCATTCAGAGTAAGGGACTTGGCCCCAACAACTTCCTTCTTCTTCCTGACCAAAGCTTCCTCCTCGGACTCGGAATCGTCTTCGGATTGGCTTGGTGTAGGGGGGATGGCAGGATGAGGTTGCGGGCATCTTTGAGGGAGGAGTCGTCGGTGACATCTAGCTTTTTGAGGATAGCCTTCTAACCAAGGGTGAAACCCTTGTTGTATGCCTGCTTCACTTATTTTTTGTAGTCCTCCTTGACGTCGGCCGCCCCCTCGGCGTATGCCTTTTCATCGGCAGCCTTGATCTCGGCCACTTTTGTGGCCAAGGCATCTTGAAGCTCTTTTTGGGCCTCAATCATCTTTCCCTTGGCCTCTTTCTTTTTAGCTGCAAGGACCTTGGTAATGGCCTCTGCAGCGTCAGCCTTTTCCTCGGCCTCGTCCTGAGCTTTCTTGGCTGCCTCGGCCTGATCTGTCAAGCCTTTCCGTTTGCCCTTAGCCTTGTTAAGGGCCCTCTGCAAGCTTGCAGCCTCTTTGGTTTTATTTGCTAACTCCTTCTTGATGGCGAAGGCCTATATCGCAAAGGAGTGACCATGCTGGATCGCCTAGAAGAAATGGAAAAAACAAGTTAGTAAAACTTCCTAAGTATGAAATAGCAGAAAATGAAAAGGTTCCAAGTGTTAGGAGCTTACTTGGACAGAGCGTTGCAACATCAGAGCAAAGTTCTCGTACTCGCTCATCTCGGCATTGCGATTGAGATCTGGGGAGAGGAGCAGTGGGGTAGAGAGGGCAACGCTGACTTCAATATCATTGGCGCTGTCACTAGCTCTAATCGGCTTGTCCTCAATTGTAATGGGAGGAGCCCAGGGGGCATTAGATTTCATAGAGCCCGAGGTTATAGCCGATTCAGACCTCGGTCTCTTCGACCGAGTTGATTGGGATGGTTCTGCCTCGGCGGGTCTCTTCTCGGCAACTGAAATGGTCTTCTCGCTCTCGGCCAATTTTGAAATTGGCAAAGTGTCCTCAGTATCAATCTGAGTCACCGTTGCCTTAGGCTGGGCCTTCTTCAGTCTTTTGGGCTTTGGCTTTGGCTGTGTTGGTTGAGCGTTGACAGTGTTGGGGATGTCGACCAGAAGGTCTTCTGCAACTGCTTTCTTGCGACCCATCTTAGCAGCGATTGCAGTTCGGCGTTGGCTTTTGCATTGAGATGAAGGGATCAGATATGGAGCCGAGGTTGATGGTTGCTCAGCTAGATCGTAAGTTGATCCCTGATCTGGCCAAGATAATGAAGTTACTGGTAGAGTTGTGGCGGAAGGATGAGACTTGCTCTTCTTCTTCGGGATGTCGGGAAGAACCGACTTGTAAGTCGGGATGTAGTTGAGCAACAAAGGAGCTCTTCGCCTCTGAACTGGCAGATCCAACAGCTTCTTCAAGTCCTTGCTAGGGAAGAAGGACTTATGGAAGTCTTTTGCCGGCTGTGGAAGAGCTGCAAGACAAACAGACATTAGAACATGTAGAAAGAACAAAGTATTAAAGACTTGAAGAATAATAAGTAAGTGTAACATTTGGCTCTTACCATTACCCTCTATGAAAATTGTTCGGCTAAGAGGGTAAAGGTGAAGGTCCTCATCTGGAGCGAACTCCCAGTTACTCGAGACAATGAAGTAATCGTCCCCGGCTCCCTTGTTGGAGTTTGGGAGGTTGGCAACAAGTTTGTATTCGGTTTGAGGTAGTAGATGTAGCCTTTTTCTAATTTGAGGCCACACATGGTGTAGCAGTATTGGATGTCGGCTAAAGTTACCCTAGCGTTCTATTTTTTGGCTAAGGCTATTATGCCGTTGATAACTCGGTAGGAGTTGATAGCGAGTTGCATTGGGTTCAATTTGTAGTAATGGAGGATTTCTCGGAAAAGGATGTCATATGGGAGCCTAAGTCCACACTCAATGAAAGCTACGACTGGGAAAGGCATGGAGTTGACTATGGGCATGATGGAATCATCCTCCCCAACCAACCTCAGATGGACGTCGGTCGGGATGGAAAACTCCTGTCTAAAGTATTCTAACTTAGTCGGGGTGTCTACCCTATACCTTCATATGCCCATGACGTCAGCTTGGGGGATGTCGCGACCCAAACCCGCCCTTATAAGTTTAACGTCGTAATCGGCCAGTAATCCTTAGATTACCGAAGGCCTCTTAACAGAATAACATATAATTAGGGGCTACGGAAGCAAATAGCAATTATACAACATCCATTGAGCTGTGCAGACTTATATGAGACAGAAAAAGTTTAAACTTTATATACGTACATATACACATCATCATATATATACATATATAAGCTAGACAAAAAGGAACTTAGCCCTATTTACAAAATACACAAAGACTTGTCTAGCTGAACAGGAAAATAGAACTTCAACTTATGCACTTAGCCATAATCACTAGACATGTATGGAACCTCCACGGGAGGCACAGTGGGTTGGCTTGACGAAACGGAATTAGGCTGACGCCGCTAACTTTAATTTGGTGCCTGACCTCCTACATATATATAATAAACTATGAGCTAAAGCCCAGTGAATAGCATTAATGTAAAGGGGTTAGTGAACGAATTCCAAATACGATATCCATAAAACAAATCATATCACAATCAATCATATCGGTCTCATATCGGAACATAATGTAATGGTACATCTCACAGAACATATCACTTAACGTCTTCTGACTAGAGTAATCGGTTCCAGATACCGATTAAACACATATCACCACAATGAAGTAGCTAACGAGATCTCGAAAGCAATCATGTGTCATAGCCCCGTATTTACATGCCGTCCCCATGACTTAGGACTATCTGTGGATGCCATAATATATTTGCAAATAGGACATTCGTTCACATGATCAAAATAGCATTTAAGAACTTATCACTTAACGGTAACAGTTAAAACATAATTCATATCAACATATCTTTACAGAAATGTTACTCACAGTGGATTAAGTGGATATAAGGCCTCGGATGCTCACCTATATAAATCACATAACAAAAACACAATAAAAGCACCATTCAATATTCATTTCATTTTAATTCAATTCTCTTTATGTGTTTCTAGTTTATTCCATGACTATGAGAGTCCAATTGGTGCCTAAGAATACTTAGAATGTCATGAGGATGTAATTATGCATTTAAAAGAGTTAGTCAAAAATTGCTAAAAATAGGGTCCTCACTCGAGCGCCACTTTGGTCGCTCGAGCGGACTGCAAAATTTTGAAACACTTCTGGGAGCTCAATTTTCATGCTCGAGTGAAACTCTCCTCGCTCGAGCAGACAGTGTGAATTCTGGAATTTCCAGAATTGTAGTTGAAGTACAGATTTGATATTCAAAACCTCAAAACATATATTTTTGATACACAAATATGGAGAACCAATGTATAATTAGTAAATACTCTCAATTAGAAATCATTTATTCAAAATCATGCTCCAATTGTCCAAATTTAGATTTAATTTATTTTCTCCATATCAAACCCAAAGTAATTAATTTCCATAGATTTGAACCTAACTCCTTCGCATGGATTAAATCTTCAATAAATCCTTGTTTGCATGTAATTTATGGAGCTTAATTTAACAATAACTTTCCAAATTAAACCCAAAATAATTAATTTCTAATGTAACTTCATAAATTTGATCTTAACTCCAATTCTTCATTTTTTGGCCAATTTCTTAGCAAACATTGAATATATGTAATTCAAATAAAACTAACTAATTCATTATATACCCAAATTTGTTTACATTAAATAAAATCTTAAATTACATTACATGCATGGATTAAAGAAAAGATCTAATTATAAACCAAAACTTTATCTAACTTTAGGATTAATTCCAAATTTTTATAATCTTGATTTTCATAAAACATTTCATTTTCTCTTCAAAATATGAATTTGAATGGTTCAATTTCTTCAAAATCCAAGATGCATGTAAATATGGACTCAAATACTCATAGAATTCCCTCATGCATGTAATGATAGAATTTAATTTCATGCAAGATTATAAAAATCAAACTCAAAATAATTAATCCCATAAATATGAACTTACCTTAATTTTGTTGATAATTTCTTTCTAATTATATGAAGTTGAAGTACCAAACCTTTAGAAAATAATGATGCATGTAAAATTAGAGCTCAAATTCATCAAAGGTGACCAAAATCATACTCAAAAGATGAACTTCTAAATCAATTCCTTTATTCTTGAACTTAATTTTCTTCATTCTTTTCCTTGATTCCATCATATCATATGTATTTAAACTCAATTACCTCATGAATTTAGGTGTAGAAAAGATTGTCTATAAATAAAAAATAGGTTAGAAATTCTTACCACTGTGTTTGGTTTGAGTTTTCTAGATTAAGTTTTTTGAAAACTGAGTTTTTTGATTTTCGTGTTTTTTTGTTTTTAGTGAATATTTTTAAAATTTTAAACATTTTTTTTACTTTTTTAGATGCACCTTACTTAGATGTGTCTAAAAAGTAAAAAAAAAAATTGTGAAAAAATATTTTAAAAAATTAAGAAATACATAAAAATACAAAAAATGTACTAAAGTCTTGTATTTTTTTTGTATTTTTGGTATTTAGTGAATTTTTAAAAGATTTTTTTTACATTTTTTTTACTTTTTAGGTGTATTTATGTTAGGTGTGTCTAAAAAGTAAAAAATTTGCATAAAATATTAAAAAAATTCAGTAAAAACAAAAAAACACGGAAAATAAAAGTGTAGAATTTTCTGAAAACTATTTTTAAAAAATGAGAACCAAGCAAAGTGATTACCTTGCTTGGTTTTCAGTTTTTCAAAACACTTTTCAGAAAATTCTATTTTCTTATTTTTCGTGTTTTTTTATTTTTACTGAATTTGTTTAATATTTTAAATATTTTTTTTACTTTTTAGACACACCTAACATAAATACACCTAAAAAGTAAAAAAATTATAAAAAAATCTTTTAAAAATTCACTAAATACCAAAAATATAAAAAAAAATACAAGAATTCAGTACATTTTTTGTATTTTTATGTATTTATTAATTTTTTAAAATATTTTTTCACAAATTTTTTACTTTTTAGATATATCTAAGTAAGGTGCATCTAAAAAAGTAAAAAAAAAATGTTTAAAATTTAAAAAATATTCACTAAAAAAAAAAAACACAAAAACAAAAAAAATCAATTTTCAAAAAACTTAATTCAAAAAACTCAAACCAAACACAGTGATTAGTCTTCAAGATCTTCCTTTATCTTTAATTCTAAGCTTCCCATCAAATTCCTCCCAGCAAAGAAAACCCTCTCTCACGGTTTCTCTCTCATTTTTTCTAACTCTCTGTTTTCCATTTCAGAACTCATATATTAATACATTATATATATCATTTGTTGCCTTCCTCCTTACACGTACACATACACTTACAAATCATAACCAGATTTCTCAATACACCCACCTAAATTTCTCAGTGCACCCACACCCACAATTCTAGTTTGTTCCATAAGGCAATTTATACTTAAGATTAATTTTAATTAAGCAACACTTAGTCTTAATAAATCTTGGTTAGCACGTAAATAATCCGTTGGAGATGGTCTTACAAATCATAACCAGATTTCTTAGTACACCCACTTAAATTTCTCAGTGCACCCACACCCACAATTCTAGTTTGTTCCATAAGGCAATTTATACTTAAGATTAATTTTAATTAAGCAACACTTAGTCTTAATAAATCTTGGTTAGCACGTAAATAATTAATCATAACAAATCACAAATCCCACATAATTTAATTAGTCTAATTTGACTTCCATTAAAACCCAATTAATTTTTACTAAATTTTATTAATCTAAATCAGATTTTTAATCAAACTTTTAAAAGGCTCCAAATGTTAAATTAAACTTATTTTCATCTTCAATTCTGGTTCCTTAAATCATTTAAACCTTCAATTTCTGACCAGATTCAAAATTTTGTCAATAAATTACATGTTCAAATTAGGCACTTCAGAAATGAATTTAAACTGTAATCATCTTAATTCCCAATCTTCATAACTTATTCACTCCAATTCGGACCCAATTAATAAAATCTCAATTTTACTACACCAAATCGAATATTTAATTAAACTCTCAAATGGTCTGATATTCAAAATTAAAACAATTTAATTCACCATTTGTACTCTCTTGAGCCATTTAGGTTTTCAATTTTTAATTCCAAAATAAATCCTCAATAGAATCATATACGAATCAGTCTCCATAATTTTCATAAATCTTGGGTTAAATCAAAGTAACGGGCAATTAAATTCAAATCTCTTTGATTAATTAAATGTTAATTATTATACGTGGTGGAGTCGTTACAGGGGAAGATATTGGAACTCGGAAGAAAGTGTCCTGTGAAGGTTTTAAGGACCTCAGCTAAAACCTAAATGTGTGCAGGGGTAAGAATTTGTGAGGATCTAAGAGAAATTCGTTTCAGTTTCTCCTAAGGTTCGTGAATTCTACGACAAATCCCAAACCTAAATCTAGGCAAACAAAGATTGAAGGCCGGAATCTGGAAAAGACACAAAAAACAGAAAGAAGCACAATGATTCAGAATCAAGAATAGCGATGAACTACCAAAAATACTGTGACAGAGTGTATAAAGGGTATGAGGACAAAAACAGTGGCAAAATGAGCAAGTGGGTAATCAGTGAGTGTTTATTCAAGAAATGTATTGGGCAACAGCAGAATCATAGGATAAACATGCCCTAATACATGATTGAAATCATGTGCACATATTTGTAATCATGAAAACGTGAATAAAGTCACTGTGACAGAGTATGAATGTAACAGAGTTCGAAGTGAACCAAGAACTGAAATAAGGGGGAACAGTGGCTTACCAGAGAATGTGAAGCCGGTGTGGGGTTCGCTAAAGTCAGACGACGATAGCAAAAGCGACGGAGCGGTGAAAATCTCGCCGAAAGAGGTGCACAGTGCAAGTTGTAGAGCTTAAGAGCTTGGAGCAATGGAGGATTTGGGAGGAGAGAGAGTTTGCACGAAGACAAAGGCACAAAAGTGAAATGACGGAGAGAGAGAAGTGGGTTTTGATCAAAACCACGAAATGGCGGCAAAATTGCAATCAATGTGCCTAGGGCGACGTACTTGTCAAACGGCGCACACAGACGCAAGACGACTTAAAGGCGCATGTCAAGTACGATCCAATGAGGGAAAGACATGTGGCTAAAACAGTTGGGTTGCTATGCGTGATAGCTCATATGCATGATGAATCTCTTGAAGTGCTTGGTTTAACGAAGCAAAGACCTCGGCTATGAGGATGATCTCGACTAAATAATTTGAACCGACTTGATTATTTGTTCTAAGGCATTGGTGAAAACAGATTACAAATCTTGGTCATATAGGGCCAAAGGGTGATGACCTCGAGAATGAAGGGTAAGGCGAGCTTAGCCGATGTGCTAAATAGAAGAAATGATATAGGTTCCATTACCTTAGGATGTCGAGGTAACAGAACTTATGGGGCAGTTGTGGGGACATAATTTTTGAATGACAACACGTGGCCGAGGTGGCACCGAAGTGTCAGCCGAGGTACCACGTGTCCTGGTCATGACGCCGAGGAAATCTCGGCTAGGCCGAGGTTATCAGTGAGAATACCGGAATCCGGGATAAGCGGATAAGGGACAAGAATCTTAGATTGGGAGAGGACTTCAGTTTGGATAAAGATAAAACTCTTAGAGAGTTTATCCCACTCCTACTGGGAGTCCAATATTAGTAGTAATCCAAAGTCTATTGGAGCTAGGCTTCTATTAGGACTAGGTTTGTGTTGGCTATAAAAGGGAGACACCGTCATGGTTCTAAGGTACGCTTTCTATATTCTGAATAGTGAGTTAAGCACTTTTGCTATCTTTGAGAGATAACTGACTTGATCGTCAGAGTGCCCTCGGGTGGACGAACCATCGCTGGAACCTCTTTTTTCTGTTACAGGTCATTCGGGTGTGATCTATTTTGCCAGTGTTCACCAGCTGAGTACTAGTTTAGTAGTGTGGTCAGAAATCAACTCACACAATTGTATTTTATTAATTTTTAAATATTTTCTTTGTTTTCTTATTTACTTCTTTATATTTTCATGTATTAAAAAAAAAAAAAAAAAACAAAATCGTGCTAGAATTGCACCAGAAAAAATTCCATCGGTAGTACAATTATTATTTAGGAGACTTACGTGTAGGTCATAGTAGGTAAATTTATTATCCAATAGATCCTGTGAGAATTAATGTCGTTTGTCATTAAATACTATTAAAAAAATGTCGTTAATTGTTAATTTTCAGCGATACTTTGAAAATCTTATCACAAAAAATGTACTAATTATAAGTTTTAGTGATAGTTTAAAAAAATTGTCACAAAAAAAGTCTGTAATTTTTATCTTTCGAAGATAGTTTGAAAAATTCGTTAAAAAGAAACGTCACTAATTATAAGTTTTACTGACAATTTATAAAAATCATGATAAAAAAGTCATTAATTACCAATTTTTAGAGACATATGCAAAAAAAATTGTCACAAAATATTATTTTTAGTGACAATTTTATCAAAATTTATTTTTAATAAAATTTAATAAGAATTAAATTCAACTATTAAGACCTATTGATAATTTCTCCTTATTTTCATACTATTTCACTGATTTGTGATTTCTCTTAGGCCCCGTTTGTTTGGGGTTATAGGGAGGAGATTGTGATTGTTAATCCCTTAGTATTACTAATGAGGTGTTTGTTTTGAGAGATGAGGAGGAGACTATTAATCCCTTGGTATTAGTAATACCCTTGGAAGGGGAATTGGTAAAGAAAAGATAGAGATGGTATTAAAAAAATAGTGAGGGGATTAAAAAAAAATTATTTTTTATATATTGGGAATTTTTTAAAAAATATTAATATTTAATTTTTTATATTTTTTTCTAATTTTTTATATTTTTTTATTTATTTTATTATTTTATATAAAAATAATTTAATAATTTCTCATTAATAATTTCTTTACTATTAATCCACTCATTATAAATCACATTCATTCTACTTCTAAAAACAAACGGCCTAAAGTCTTTTATTATCTCACGATCGAATGGCCGTTTGACAATCGAATGGCCGTTTGGAGAGTTGAGTTTTTAATCGAAAAGCCAAAAGTAACTACAAATTATGACATTTTTTACTATTTTACACGTTTTTTAAAAAAGAAAAAGAAAAAAAAATAAAATAAAAATAAACAATTAGAATAACTAATTCCCAAAAGGGAACAAGCGCAGAGAATAATCTCTCATCTCGCCAGTCCCCAATCAGACTAGGGTTTTGAATAACCTTCCTCCAACACCACGAACTTCGACGCTTCGCTCGAAGCTGAAGCTCTCTCAACAATGGCGGCCAATAACAAAGACGAAGAAGAAGCTGAATACGGTGTCCTACTATACTACAAGTACACTTCCATTCCTGACCTCGACAATCTCTTTACATTCTACGATTCCAACTGCCGCTCACTCTCCCTCCTCGGCCGCGTTCGCCTCTCTCCCAACGGCGTCAACGTCACTGTAATCTCAATATGCTCATTTCTATATATATATATATATAGATATATATGAACTTGTACATGAATTGACAATTTGGTTTTTGATTAGGTTGGTGGGAGGCTAGCTTCATTGGAGAAGCACATTGATGCGGTCAGCTCGAAGAGTTTGTTCGAAGGAACTGACTTCAAGCTCGCGTCTTGCAATCAGCCTTCGAATGATAAGGTTGCTAGGGAATGTGGATTCACTTCTCTCTCTATCCGAATCGTCAAGGTTAGTAACCTGTTTATCCATTTAAGCTTATTCAAAATCAATTTACTGTTGTAGTGCAACTGTTTGTGTTTTTGTTTTAATTGCATTTGGAGCAATGGAGCATCTTCAATCCTTACTCTATTTTTCTTATCATATTTTAGTGAAATTTTGATTGAAAACTTGATCTGATATGGAACACTCCAATGCAATTTTTTTTTTTTTTTGAAAAATTCCAAACTTATCATCAAAATCAAGTTTAACATTTTTTATGAAAGAAAACCATCTCCAATCCTTATTCTTTTTAAAATTTCATCAAATTTGAGAAAAAAATATGACTATTAGAAATTTGGTGAAAGATTTGGTTCATCCTTGATTTGGTGAAAAAATTGTCTCTCCCTTGATTTGAAACAAATTTGGTAAAGTGGTTGGCTCACACTTTTAATCATTTTCTCATTAAATTTGAATTTGATGAAGGATTGGAGATGCTCTTAATGGTTGAATTCTAAAGCTAAATGGTAATTTTTTTTTTTTTTTGTTTGTAATTCTTAAACTTTTTGTGGATAATAGATATGAATTTGTTCTAAATGAGGAAATGTAGGCCTTTGCTGGGGGTTAATTTGTAGCATGCTAGTTCCCCCAATGTTTGATAGATGTTGCGAAGCCAAATTACTAGTTGTTAATCAGAAAGTATAGCACTGTGTCAAATGTATTTGCCGTCTGGACAAGTTGTGATTTCTTAACCCTATAATTTTGCAACCACTAGCTTGAGGGTAAGTGATGGTCATATCTTGTAATATTGCACTTGCACTGGTATTTTATTTTTGTCAACCGCTAGGAGAATATTTACAAAGAGTGAGATAATTACATTAAACTGGACAATAAAAGATCAACCATATAATAAAGTCCATCAAGACAAACTGCCAGCATAACACCAACAATCATTACAAGAAAGAACTCGTCATAGGGAAGAAATAAACAACTAAACAAACATCCTTTTATATGATCTAGCCCAACTATTTCCAAACTTACACTTCAGCTTTAATTTTGTTTAATTTTGTCGACTTCTAATGTTTTTAGTAGTATTTTTCCTATTGGTTTTCTTGATTTCTGGCTTCTACAAGTCCACTGCATTTCATTACGGTGTTTTCTTGTTGCATTGATTATCTAACTTTCACCTTGTGTTTAGGAATTGGTTACGTTTGGTTCTCATCCTCTTTTGAAATCACCAGAAGTTTCCAAGGCCGGGAGACATCTATCTGCAGCTGAGTTCCATTCTGTCCTTCAGCATGCTGGTAAGTTATTGTTTTTTCCTTCTGAAGCTCTTTCTTTCCTGTCTGTCTGTCTTAAAAATGTTTGGTTAGTCCTGCAATTTGTCAAAATTTTGACTTGTCCTTATTTTGGTTTTTTATTGTTCCAACTCTATATTGCACCTTTCCATTGGAATTTTCTGTGGTCAGCCTTCTAATCCTGAATATGTTTCCAGGAAAATTTCTAGAAACAGAGAGTCCAGATGACAATAAAAGACTTGTTCTTTTGGATGCAAGGAATTTGTATGAGACAAGAATTGGAAAGTTCCAGACTCCAAATGTTGAAACTTTGGATCCAGAAATTCGGCAGTATAGTGATCTCCACACCTGGATAGATAATAATTCCGAGAAATTGCAAGGGAATCGTGTCCTCATGTGAGTACTCTTTTGAGAGAGTAGTCATATTCGGCTCTCCTGATCAATGTTTTAAAAGGCGTGCTTAGGCGCAAGCGCGCCTAAGCGCGAGGCTCAATGAGGCGCAGCCTTGCGCTTCGAACAGATCGAGGCGAGGCGCAACACGCAAGGCGCAGCTTAGGCGCTGAGGCGAGGGCTTTTTTTCGAGGCGCAAGGCGTGGGCTTCATGGGCTTTACCCATTTTTCTACTCTAATTGTTGATTAAGTGCTTTTTTTGTAAACATATCCACAGGGATTCAAAACTATTCAATATAAAATGACCAAATATAGTCATAAGAGAGCAAAAAGTGATAAAAGATTGAATGTTATACTTTATATCTTTTGTTGGATATTATATTTCTAATTTTTAGAAGATTGAATGTTATGTTTAGAGATTATTAAAGATGGTTATGATTTTTTAAATATTATATACTCCCTCCGTCCCAAAATATTGGTCCCTTTTGGGGAATCCAACTTTTTTTGGTAGTACAATTATTGCATTTGAAAAAAGTTGATTTTCCAAAATTACCCTTTTGATAGTACATTTTTTGGGAATATCAATGTCATAATTGTACTTTTTATATTGTTTATTAATTTAAAAGAAGGGCAAAATAGAAAATTTACATTGTTTTTGTACTTGATTTTTGAAGAAGGACTAATATTTTGGGACAATGAAAAATGGAATAAGGGACTAATATTTTGGGACGGAGGGAGTATATATATTTGTTATGTTGAAAAATTTACCTATTTTATAATTTTGCTTTTCTTCTACTACTTGAGCTTCGCTTTGGCGAGGCGCTCGCGCCTCGCGCTTAGGCTATAGGAGACCTTATCGCCTCGGTGCGCTTAGAGCCTTTTAAAACACTGCTCCTGATAAGTAATTTTTGTCTTTCATGCCAGAGAATCAGTATCATATGAGGGATTTATGATCTTAACTAGCACTTAAAGGATGATCTATACTATCACAGTATCTTCTTTCTGTTAATTTTTGTTATTCAATCACTCTGTTTAGTTGTAAATGATAGTCCCCCTGTCTTCTAACGATAGTCCCTCTTTCCTATTAAGTGTTCCATGGAGTCTTTTCTGTCAAACTCTTCTTGCTTAAAACGATGTGACTGGACTACTTGTCTGTAAAAACTCTTTGAGAACTATGATTAAGCACTTGCCTCAATGCTATGCACGCACACTCTTCTGGGTACAAGTCTCCTCCTAATGCACTTCTGTTGCTATTCCTTTTTCCACCAATTAATATTTGGTGCTCAATAGATGAAATGCATCCTGAACAATTTAGTTGAAAATCTTGCTAATTCAGAGATGCATGCTTAATATTGACTGCTATTCCATATTTATTGCTTTATGTTACAGGTATTGTACTGGTGGAATTAGGTGTGAGATGGCATCAGCCTATATTAGATCTAAAGGTGATGGCTTTGAGAATGTCTTTCAGGTGAGTTACTTTGAGACAGTGGGCTTTCTCTACTATTACACTAATTTGTTCCTATTTGTGTGGACCTTCTTAACTTACGATTTCTAAAGATAAAATATTCCTATGGTCCTTGAAGTATGCTTTCCATGTCACTTTGGTCCTCCAAGTTTTAATTTTGTTAATTTAGTCTCTCAAATTGACCCACTTCAACCACCTTGTAGGCTCTTATCATTTCAAATTTAGTTGGTGGAGATTCACTTGCAAACATATCTGTTATTGAGTAAATTGCTCAATTCTGGCTGAGATTTGTGTGATCGCCTGTTGTTGGTCTCATCTTAATAGGCATGTTGCCCAGACTTTTTAAAATGATTTTGGTTCAAGTTACTCGCCATGTAAGGGCTAATTCACTAACAAGTATCAACCAAGTTGGACAATCTTAATGAAATACTCTAAAGCTGTAGACACTTCGGAAATTAGGACTTTAGCTTGGAATAGCAAAGAAAATACCCATGCACACTCTTAAAAAGAACAACTATGACACAAAGAAGGTCATGGAAGCAACTTGGAATAAGTATTAATATAATGCAAAGCTATTGGTGATGCCAAACAACACATACACGTTTCTTTTAAAATGCAAGACAGCATGGAAAGCAGGTTTTTTAATGTGAAGCATGAAAAACTTGACTGAAAAAACTAGGACGGCAAGTAGGCAGTTGATGTTCAAAAGATATATGCTGAGATATGTGACAGACAGTTTGATTCATCCTAAGCTAAAATACCACATCAATGTAGCTCTATGTTCTTTTCCGAACTACTTGGAAAATATGGGCGGAGAACTTTATCAGAACAAGGTCAAACTTCCAACTTAAATTAACCTTGATACATTCTTCAACAATTAAAACACCAAAAGATTAATCAAACCGTAAACTTTATTAAAATCAAATAACATGGTGTTATGCTCTTCGTCTTTCTCCTAGAAGCTTTTTTTTTTTATTTATTATTTTTGGGTAAGTAATCTCCTAGAAGCCAAACAAAAGAAAAAGGCTTCTTTGATGATAGTTCATTTTGCTTTCCCTCTGATTTGCCTAAATGACCAAACAAAGAAAGAATTTTCTTTTCCTTTCTTTTCTTTTCTTTTTGCTTTTACATTTCCTTCCCCTCACTCTTTTGAGGGCCAGACAGAGCTTTAAGGTTTTGTTGTAGCTTACCTTTGCATAATTCTTTTCCACTGGTTCTATTGTGAACCTAATAGTGAATCTATGATCACATCATGTCATGTATGCATATATAACGAAAATAATTTCTTCTGTTGGAGTTTCTACATGGTCCATCTAGTTGAGCTTAACTTTGCCCACATTCCTGTTTCTAAAATTTTAAGATAGCTTTACTCAGCTGAGGATATTTACTACACTGCCTTGAGTGGACTAGAACATTAGTTTTCTATGTGAACTCATATTGGCCGTTCTCTATTGACATGATGAGTGAAGAAAGTGTTGCCTTCAATGTTAAATTCTGCCTTGAAGGTTGCATATTGTTGTTGAGTAACTGAAGCTGTAGTAAGCGTTAAACTTGTCTGATCCGAAGAGCCCTTATTTCCCATATCATTTAAAAAATCAGTTTTTAAGAGTAAATTTGCTATTGGTTACACCTATCTAAAACTGCGGAATGTAGAGTACTCATAAAAAATAGGCTACAGTGGATGTAGAAAAATCTAAAGTAGACAAAAGAGTGGTGACCCACTTTGACATTGTGCTTTGATTTTGTCTGGCATGTTATAAGAAATGTGTCTGGTTTCTCAGAAAGAAATAGGATATGCCTTGATTGGAGACTACCAGAGAAGACCAGCCATTGTAACCATCAAGGATATATAATAGTTTTTATTTATTTATTTATTTATTTTAATTTGCACAACAGTATGGCTTAATGCAGTTGGGAAAGAGCATCGGTGATGATAATGATATTTACTGGTAGTGTTGGCTTTACTGCAGTTATTTGGTGGAATTCAGCGTTATTTGGAACAATATCCAGATGGTGGATTTTTTAAAGGAAAGAATTTTGTTTTTGACCACAGGTATGGTTTGTAAGCAACTCCTCAATCAACATGAGCTTTTTCGTTTGATTTCATGGATGATTGTTAGGATTTGGATGTTCATGACAGTTATCGGGTCTGCTGGAACCCCAACACGTTAACCATGACCAACACTAAAGCAGCCAATGTGACTGGTGCCCAAGGAGTCTTTTGTTATCATTTTTCCTCATTCCACCGTTGAAAAATAGTTATTAACCTTACTAAATGTTTGTTGATGCCATTTGGCCCTCTAGTATAACATGATAGACACCTTACTCAGGTTTCTGAAAATGATCTAGAGTAGATGCCACTGAATTTTTATCCCTTTTTCTGCAAATCAGTGCTAGTTTTTGTGTTTAGTAAATTACCCTCCAGTCCAGTAGTTGCTATAAGGCTGTTTGCTGATTGACATAAGGTTATTTATTTACATAAGGTTCTAGAATTAAAAATGAGTTGCTAGGAAAGCTGTGAAGATGCAATGGATGATTTTGTTTCTCTGGACGCACTAATTCCTTGCTTTTTCTATTGTTCTGCAGGGTTTCAGTTGGGAGCTCAGATGCAAAGATCTTGGGTGCCTGCCTTCTCTGTAGCTCTTCATTTGATGATTATTCTTCACGGAGTCGATGCACTTACTGTAGAATGCTTGTTTTAGTCTGCGACAGTTGCCAGGTATGCACTAAAAATGGTGTACCTAAATGCACACAGCGATCGACCATTTGATGTTACTATATATGATGTTGGTTGCCTATGTTTATCTTCCCATTGAATTACATCACAAGCCTCTTTGTTTTAAATACTTCATAGAATTATTAGATTGGATATTTTTTGTGTAAAAATATCTACCATCTGGTACACAATTTTGTTATTTTTCAATCTGTTGACTGGCAACATGTTTGTGAAATAACAAACTGAATCTTGCTTTATTCACAGCTGATGCTAGAAGCAAATGTAATAATGTCATTCATCTAGTCATCCTTCTAGTGTTTTTAAAGTATTCCCTATATGAGATATGTAGGCAATGTTTCAAACAATGTTTCTCGGACACTTAGCTTCACCCATTAGTACCTCTATCTACCCAACAAAACACGTGAAGACCCACCCATTAGTGCCGGTGACAACCTATTCACACAATATTGGAGCAATATCATTCCAAATTATTCTTATTCATCTGGCCAATCTTGCCATACTAATGCCACACAGGAAATTGGATGTATAGGCGAATATCAAAGCATGATTTGGAGCTTAGCTATCAAAGTTTCTAACCTTAGGAAGAGTCCATTTGGAGACTCCAATCATACTTAAATCAAGCCAACTCAAATGGTGGGCATAAGGCTATTTTTCAGTTCAGAGTTTGTTGATTTTTACGAAGTACTTGGAGCCTGAATGGCGTACTTCAGCTCATATTTAATTTTGATATAATATTTCTGCCTTCAATTTGCTGCTGTAGTTGACATTGAAACGTTGTTTAGCTAAGTTGAGACCTAATGCCTCTTGTTTTCAGTTATTATAGTTTTCTGAATTTCAAAATTTTTGCTTACGACTGTTCGTATTGTATTCTGTAGAAGAAAGGTTCCCAATACATTTGTGAGCTATGCCAAAAAAATGGTAAGACTGTCGGGTCCATACCATTAATAGAAAATGATGAATCGCAAGAATTGTCCATACCCATAGAAACCAAAGTGGTTCCCATCTCAAATCATGCTGCATTATCACCTCAGCTCCCTTGGAGGCATGGTAAGAGGTCTGTAATGTGCATCATTTTGATTGCCGCATAATCCTCGTACATTTGTTATTTTACTATTTTGTGCAATATGTTTTCAATATATTTTCTCATTGTTCACAGTTTGCCTTGTTTCTCAATATCTCTGCAACCAAAATTTATTGACTTTGTAAAACTATATTTGAAAATTTGACTTATTAAACAACAACGCTGCAGGTACTGAGCCTTTAAGAAAACTCAGGATTCTGTGCTTGCATGGTTTCCGGCAGAATGCCTCCAGTTTTAAAGGAAGAACAGCATCATTAGCCAAGAAACTTAAAAACATTGCCGAGCTTGTTTTTGTCGATGCACCTCATGAGTTACCATTGATTTACCAACCTTGTTTGGCAGACCCAAATTACTGTGAATCATCTTCAGTGCCACAAAGTCCTCCGCCGCCACCGAAGAGTTGCAGTAAAAAATTTGCATGGTTTATTGCACCTAATTTCAGTGAGAAGAGTGACACTGATTGGAAAATGGCAGACAGTCCATTCGATCCTCTGCAATACCTGCAGCAAACCGATGGGTTTGATTCATCATTAGCATATTTAAAGAATGTATTTTCACAAGAAGGGCCTTTTGACGGGATGTTAGGATTTTCACAAGGAGCGGCAATGGTGGCTTCGGTTTGCACACGACAAAGATTGCTGAAGGGTCAAATGAATTTCAGATTTGTGATTTTGTGCTCTGGATTTGCACTTAAATTAGCAGATTACGAGCAGGGATCAATCAACTGCCCTTCCCTTCATATCTTTGGCAATGATGAAGGTAATGACAGGCAGATAGATAACCAGGCCAGCAGAGCGCTAGCTTCTTTATTCGATGACGGTTGCTCTGTGATTATTGAGCATGAGTTTGGTCATATAATTCCTACACGGTCACCATATATTGATGAGATCAGAGATTTTCTTCATCGGTTTCTGTAAGTTGGGATTTTCGGCCATGACTTCTTGGGTTCCATAAGCCCTCTTCGTCGTTACCGCATTGACACCATGTGAGATTTCACTTGGGTGTGCTCCTCTAATCAGATCCAACTCTACAAAGAAGCGTTCTTTTGTGATTCATGCCCAAGTAAAGAGACTTCATGGATGTAGCAAAGTTGTACTTTGCAACTGAATGTAATTTGCTTTCTGATTGATGTTGGATTCACTTTTTATATTATTATTATTATTATTTATTTAAACTTTATATTTTTCTTTTTCTTTTAATTAAAACATACATGAATTTATATGGAACTTGATTTTTGAAGGAGTAATAGAATTATGAGGACCACTCAGGTGCAATCATGTCTTTTATTTTTTTATTTTTTTGTGGGGGGGGTAAATTGCACTGATTTCTGGTGGGAGGAAATATAGTAAAACCTCATCAGTTTGTTATAATTATATTATGGTCGTTAAAATTTTAATTTACAATAGTTAATCTTATTTTTATAAACAAACGATAATTTTATGTATGAAAAATATCAGCTTGTTTGGTTTTGGTTTTCAGAAAATAATTTTCAGAAAATTGTATTTTTTTATTTTTCGTATTTTAATGTTTTCAATGATTGTTTTTAATATTTTAAGTAATTTTTTTTTAAATTTTTAGACACACCTAATATAAATATATTTTTAAAATATAATATTTGTAAAAAAAATTTGAAAAAAATTAACTAGCCTCCGTTTGGGAAGTGGGTTGGCTTTTTGGCTTTTTGGCTTTTTTGGCTAATTTGTAAAAAAAAATTTGAAAAAAAATTCACTAAATACCAACAAAAAAAAAAAAATCAGTACATTTTTCATATTTTTGTATATTTATTGATTTTTTTAAAATATTTTTTCACAAATATTTTTTTTACTATTTAGATGCATCTAAATAAGGTAAATCTAAAAAAGTAAAAAAAATAGTTTAAAATTTTAAAAATATTCACTAAAAATAAAAAATAAAAACGAAAAATAAAAAACTCGATTTCTCAAAAATTGAATTCAAAAAATTGAAATAAAAAACGCTAAATATTTTAAAATAGATATTTCACCTTGTTCATTTTTTATGTCTTTATATCATTTGTATTTGTTCTATTCTTTTTAATAAGGATACCCTTACAAAAAGTACAAGATGTTAAAAGTGATTTGGTGCAAAAAAAAATAAATAAAATTGCTTCGGGCTCGAATACTTGGCTCAAATACTTGGCTCAAATGGCCCAAAAACATGGGCTCACGTGCATATCTTGCCCTCTCTCCTCATTTTTCTTCTCATACCCAAACTCTCAAACTCTCTCTCTATTGCTTTGTTTGTCATTGTCCTTCAGAATCATTCAAGTCTATCTCCTTCGAAACGACGCCAGAAAGTTGTTGTTTTGTCACCTCCTCTCTCCTCTCAAATGACGTCGGAAAGTTATGCTGTGGAAAGGACTGGCATTGTGCTCGGTGGTCAGCGGGATACTCCTCTCACAAATTCACTCTCACTCCCGATTCCCTCACTACTGAATTACTAACCAATCTCATTCGAATCTCAGGTAAACTCAAAACTAGGGTTTAATGATTGAGGGTTTGTATTTTGCCCCACACTTGTAGCTTGTGAAGTAAGTTTTATTTTTTATTTTTTTATTTGAGATGCATTTGTGAGAGGAACAATGGATATGCCGAATTGTATGGCTTGATGTTTGTAAAAAAAAAAAAAAAAAAAAAAATTTTAGTTGTTCTGGAATCAGACCCTTGGTTAAACATCTTCCATTATATTGATGCATTCCAAGTGTTTGATAAAAGTTCCCAACTGATTTTCTTCTTCGGTATTCTATGTAATTTTTTTGTTTTGTTTCGTTTTGGTTGTTATGAAATCAGATCCCTATGTTAAACATCTTCCATTGTATTGATGCATTCCAATTGTTTGATAAAAGTCCACATAGAAATTATGCCTGATTTTATATTCTGAATTGAAATGAGATGGCTGTAAAAAAAAAAAAAAAAAAATTGTGCTTATTCTGTAATGAGACTCTGTGGTAAACCTCTTCCATTAGATTAAACACATGAAGGAAATTTCTGAATATTTAACAAGGAAAAATCAATTTGTGAACGTTTAACAAGGAATTGAAAAAACAATTTCTGAATGTGTAACAAGGAAAAATCAGGAAACATCTATTTTATTTGTGAATGTTTAACAAGGAAAATCAAGAAGCTAGAATTATGTTTAACATAGGTTTTATTTGTGAATGTTTAACAAGGAAAAATCAAGAAGCCAAAATTATGTTTAACATAGGTTTTATTTGTGAATGTTTAACAAGGAAAAATCAAGAAGCCATATTTCACAAAGTCTACATAGAAAAATTATGTTTGATTAAAGTCCACATAGAAATTGTGAATGGTGAACTTGTGAATGGTGTATTTGAAATTAAGAAGACATGAAGGGAATTGAAATGGCTTTTGTATTGTTTATGCAAATTGAAAATGGCTTTTTCTTCTACTAACAACAGCAACATTAGATTAAAACCAAGAATGTGTGATTGTGGGAGAACAGCTGCAATGTATATTGTACAAACCAACGAGAATGAAAATCAAGGGCGTCTCTTTTTGGTTTGCTCATCAAAATATGTAAGTATGTGTTATGAAATTGAACTTGTAGTCTGTTGGAAATTATTTGTATAATTTGATTAATTGATTGTCATGTATTGTAGAGTAACAAAGAACACTGCAATTACTTCAAGTTTGCGAACGATGATGATAGGGACGTTACCTCCACAATCTATTCCAATACTGGATCTCATAAAGCTATCATGTAGCTCGACTTTTGGTGCTCCTTTTGGATACGACTAGCCCTACAATTCAGACTCCCGTGGTTCTAAATCTAATTCCACAAGTGTAATGTGAAATAGATAAATACCAAAGAGTCCAAATCCGGCAAATCTTTTAGAAAACCGATTTTAGATCAAAATGCCAAAAATAGACTGTTTTTCCAGATATAGAGTCGTCACCTAAATATTTTGAAAAATTTAGGAAACCCATGACTCATGCTAAAAGCCATCTGTCCGTCATCACCAAAATTGTCTCGGCTCGGGAACTTAGGTATGAGAAAAGAAGGTCATGAATTGAGCACTCCACTCGCCCGATCAAAAATCAGTCTCTACTAAGCATGATGTGATTCTTATTTACTTTATATGCCCTTGTTCCGGTTATTAGGCTAACATTACTATGTGATACGTACACAAGTATAGACTAATTTGTAAAAATTGGAACACTTTGATTTCATGTTTGTTTTGAAAATTGTTTCAAATATGTATCACTTAAAAAAGTGATCGTATATGTATATTACTCAAATTATTCCAATTCAAGCAATTAGCCTTCATCCACAGATGAGAGGGTAATTTATGTGAAAATTGGGCCGAGCTGGGTAATGGGTCGATATGGGCCGCAGTACAAAGGGCCGAGTAAAATGACCATGTAAGTTATTTCGGTCGATTGGATATTTTGAGGTTAGTCCGGTCCTAAGACCGTGAAGCTAGTCCGGTCCAACCGAAGATCGAAGTTAGAGCGGTCTAACGGTACTTTATAGTTAGACCGGTCTTGGAGTTACACCGGTCATGACATGTTAGTTCGGTCTGACCACGCCATGGGTTGTGCATGAGAAGCCGACGTAAGAGCAGTAAAAGGAAGAGCTAGTTCGGCTTATTCTGCGGCTATGCATAGTCATGTTTACTTCGGTCAAATTGGAGTTCGGCCATGATAAAACCATCTCACTTAGTTTAAGCAGTGGGGGGGTGTTGAAGGATAAGTATTATCTTTCAGGAGTATGAATCCTAGGAGGACTCTGCATAGAGAAGTAAAAGTCCTACTAGGATTGTGCCACACGGAACCTATAAAAGCTCACAACATCACCTTTGGAGAGGTAACACAACTTTGTTTTCTGAATACACAGAGCTTTTGTCTATTTGTCAAGCTTACTGACTTAGGCATCGGAGAGGTTTCCGGCACACACCTGCCGGCTAGCTCACGTTTGTGTTTTCAGGTGATAAAGAAACGACGTACAGAGGAGTGCAGACTTGATCAACAGGATCATACGAGAAGGTTTATTTCTTCCCCGTACAATTGGCACCGTCTGTGGGAAAAACAAACAGGACAAAACCTCTTGATCAAGCTTTACCTCTTGAGGAACAATGACGCACAATGAAGAATTACCACAGTCCGCCATCGACGAGCAAACACCAGATGGGGGGGCCAGGCGTGAAGGATTACCTTCTATCCCCCCCCATGGTGGACTTGGAGCCCCAACGACACAACGCCATGAGAGACACTAAGGGGAGGCGGACTCACAGCCCCCGTCACTCTCGTTCACAAAGTCCTGACAGGCAAAGGCGGAGGATTGATCCTCAAGTTCTGGAGGACCGCGTGAAGGAGCAAGACGAATTAATAAGGAAGACGGCGGCCGACATGGAAGCCTTGAAATGCCAGATGAAGGAAAAAAGAGTGGCGACAGGAGAGGGGTGCAAAAACAAGACGCCCCCTCGCCGCTCAGAAGACCATGGAAGGCATTCAACGCCATCACAGGCAGAAAGTAGAAGCCTCAGGACAGGCGATACTCAGTCTGGAACCTCCAGAAGTCGTTACTCCAGGTCTGAGAGAACGAGATCATTAAGGTCTTACACAGAAGGAAGTACCTACTGACCCTCACACTCGCACCAAACATCATCCAAACAGACAGAGTTGCCCAAATCATCCGATTTGCGGATCATGTTGGAAGAAAAGGCACGATGGAAGGAGGACACCAGGGCGCGCGACCCTCGCAGAGTTTCTGCCCTTCAACGATTGGCTCCTCGATCGCATGGAAGCGGCGAGATTGGAATACCATTACCACACCCTGCCTACGAACCAACGGACAAGGCATTAGCGAGGCTGCAAACCTCGCCGTTCGTTCCGGCAATCGAAAACACGCCCCTACCTACAGGCTTCCTTCAGCCCAAATTCACTACGTACATGGGGAAGACAGACCCCTACATTCACCTAAGCCACTTCCGCTAGGTTATGGCGGTATATCGGTGAAACGAGGCTCTAATGTGCATCCTCTTCCCGTCAAGCCTTAGCGATCTAGGCTTGACTTGGTTTGAAAAACTTCCAGAAGACAGCATAGCCTCCTGGGCGCAATTGGCAGAGGCATTTGTCACAAGATTCAGAACAAACACTAAAACCCCGATGGAGATTGACCAGTTACTCTCCATTGACATG